GGGTTGCCACTTGCTCGTCGTAAGTTTTGTTTGGATTTAGAAGTAATGTGGACACTCATTGCAGCATTATTCATGAGAACAAAAATGTGAAATAATCTACGTGGTTAAAACTCAGGGGTTGACTAAGTTATAGCATAGCTACATAATCACTTTACGCTTCATGAAAATTACATTTTAGAGCATTTTATAAGACAGCAAAATGCACGCCTTATGTGAATAAAGCAAATTATAAAATAGTATGTGCAGTATGATTCAAAATTTGCTTTTAAAAAGTAAAAATTTGGCCAAAAAACAATAGTATTTATTTCTGGGCATAAGGATTACATTTTTAAGTGTTTTTTTCTTATTTCATTTTTCCAAATCACCAAAAAACATGTGTTTAGTATAACAGTGGGACAAAAAAAAATCAATTCAATGTTTCTAAAAATAAGGCTAATTCTTACCAGAGAGCACATTTGAATCTTACGAGAAGATAAAAATTGCTTGGCCTGTTTTAAGGGCAGCTTTATCTATCCAGGAAGTGAGATATAAGGGCTGGAGTCTCTGTGGTTATGAAATTTGTGATAAACACGCACCCATGGTGATTTTCGTTCTTTGGTTCTTTGTGTTTTCTTTTTTTCTTTGTTTGTATGTTTCCTTCTTTCTCTTTCTTTCTTTCTCTCTCTCCCTGCCTTCCCCCCTCCCTCCCTCCCTCCCTCCCCCCCCCTCTCTTTCTTTCTCTCTCTTTATTTCTTTCTTTTTGCCAGTCTGCAGTTTGTTTTCTTCCAACTCAGAGTATGGGGTTAACAACAATACACTGAAATTATGCCTTAGAATAAAGCTATGGTTTAAAGGTGTGAATTTCCACACTTTAAAGGAATAAGACATAATGTCCCGTTATTGCCAAGTTAATGGGGAGGAAATCTACAAGAAAGTTTACACATTGCATTGTCTAGCTCCCATTTCTATTCCTTGATAAGCAACTTAACTTCCAATGACTTTTACTCTATGAGATTATAATAACAGATCTTTCAAATTGTTAAAGGGTTGATGTACCAAGATATCTGTAATAAATTATAATTCTAGGTTTATGACAATTCAAATGAGCAAATATGATGTTATTACACTATTAAAGCGGTTATTCATCTGTACTGTAAGATGACAAATTACAGCCCCTGGGCCAAGTGTGGTTCAGTGCCTCTTTTGGGACCATTTATGAGCTAATAATAATTTTTACATTTTTAAATGCTTGGGGAAAAATCAAAATAAAAGTAAAATTTCATGAAATGTAAAAAGGAATATGAAAATTTCAGTGTTCGTAGTTTTACTGGAATACAACCATGCTTGGTTTTTTTACGTAATGCCCAGCTGATTTCACATTATAATGACTTCTGGAAAGAATTGTGACAAAGAGCATATGGTCCTCAAAGCCTTAAATATTTATTGAGCTTTACAGAGAAAGTTTGCTTGATCCAGCCTTTTCGAGGTAGCTCTGAATATTCTTTGCATTTTCTAGCCTCAGCCACTAGATGGCATAAAAGATCCTTAAGCCAGTAGGAAGAATAAACCAAAAACCAAAAAACTTCTGCCTTACAGAGGATATTTACATTTTCAATTAAGTCATTCTCTAAAAGGCAGTTCTTTCAGCAGTATAAAACTTTTTTCTATATGTGTTCAATAAACCAAAAATTGAATGTTTAAAACAAACTACGAAAGCATTAATTTAGTCTAGAAATAATGTCTGCACAGAAATTTAGCATTTATTCACTTCTGCCTAAAGTAAATATTATGTGAATATGCACTATTAAAGAGGCTCCCCTTTAGTCTGTAGGCTCCTTTAGGCTCCCCTTTTTGTCTGTACAAATCTTTGTACAGACACAGATTTACTGTGTCTGTACAAAGTTCTTCTCTTATTAGACTGAACTGCTTTTGTCCCGTTTCCAGGCTAATACAATCAGCTGAGCCAACTGGATTTAGAGTGAGGTAGACGGTGTGTGTGGGTGGGTATGGATGTGTGTATGCGGCATCAACTTTTACTTATTTTAACTGAATTTAAGTGGTCTTAGGATTTGACTAAATCTTAAATCTCTCTCTCTCTCTCTCTCTGTTAGCACTGTATAGACACAGTCAGCCACAACTAGTTTTAACACGGCCAATTTACACATCAATCAATCAAAGCAAGGCCACTGGGCCCTCCCACACATTCTGTCTTTATAATTTACTATCATATCAAAACCACATTATGATCTCTTGAAAGACGGATGCAAACTTGTATTGCTGTTATGGTAATATTATTCACGTTCTTTTAAATTTCAGGTTCCTCATTTCTCAACAGGAAAACGAGAAGCACTATGTTACCACTCAGAGGCACAGCAGAGAGAAATCTGGCACTGTCTTCACCTAACACACATCCTCTTCTACTGTTACAGTGGGTAGGTGGTCAGGCATGAGTAGGGCAGGAGAGGGTCCCTCTACCCACCAACCAGGAATGTCAGGAGACCATCAGGTGATGGTCAGGAGATTGTTACACTGTTTCTCTAAAATAATAATTGGTTGCAGCTGGGGCCAGGAGAAGGCGGTCTCCCAATACACAGAAAAAATGAAACAAAACAAAATATGATCAACAGCTTCTCGATAAGATCTCAGGAGTTGGGTGAGTGGGCTCAAGCACGTGCACGAAGAGGTAAAACGGCAGTTTAACTGGCATATGACCTTGTAGGAACATTTGACTGCTAAGGGAAGAATTCTTCAAGTAAGCATGCACGCAACTCCAGTAGAAACACTGTACACGCAACCCCTCTCAAGGGCTGGCAGGCCACTGTGCATGGAGACAGCCCACTCCCAGGAAAGAATCAGGGAAAAAGGGACGCAAGACCCCGGAAGCATGCCGATGTATAAAACCCCAGTCAAAGGTCAAACCATGCCCTTGATTTCTCAAGTCGCCTGCTTAGCCCTCTTTCAAGTGTATTTCACTTCCTTTCCTTCCCGCTCTAAAGCTTTTAAATAAATTTTCATTCATTCCTACTGGAAAACTTGCCTCAGTCTCCCCTGCCTTATGCACCTCAGTAGAATTCTTTATTCTAAGGAAGCAAAAATTGAGGTTGAAGCAGGCCCATGTGGATTTGCTGCCAGTAACATACTTCGGTGCTGCATGACTCAGATATGTTCCATTGAACGTATCTCAGATATGTTGCCATTGAAATGTTAACACTACCATTTCTGTCCCCTTGCTTTTTCTGGACTGTCAATTATGAACCTTTCCCTATACAAAGAAAAGTTCAAATAGGATAATGGATAACCCCATATGGAACACCTAGTTTAAATAATTTTGTCTTCTCTCTGTTAACTATTCCTATGTGTATATCTGTTAATTATTCCTATGTATATATCTGTGTATGTCTGTATCTATCAATCTATTCTGTTTGTTGTTAAACCACTTGTAAGTTGCAAACAGACAGCACGTCATTTCTAAATTAATTCACCGAGTATCTCCTAAAATAATGGTATTTTTTTGTCTACCCATAAAACCATCATACACCTAAGAAATCAGTAATAATTCTATATTCTTAGTTAATATACAATGAACATTGAAATTTCCCTGATTTAACCCCAAAATATATTTTAAAAATTTGTTGTTGAACCAAGATCTGATCGACAGCTGGGCTTCACACATGTTTAACTATCTCATGTTCTCTCAGCTAGACAGTTGCTGCCTCCACTCTTTATGCAGACCTCTTTTTCATGCTAATTTTTTAAAAGACCCATTCATTTGCCTTGCAGAATCCACACATTGAATTTTTTTTATTGTTTTTCTTGTGGAGCTATTTAAATTGTTTCCTAGCCTTTATATTTTGTGTAAATGGAATTTAGGTCAAAAGCCTTAACAATATCATGTTGTATATCTCATCTATTGCATCACACTGAGAGGTGTGAAATGTTGAGCTATCTCATTTTTGATAATGTTTATTTCAATCAATTCCTCAAGGTATTGACCACACCTTTGTAAAGATGTTATTTTTTCTTTGCAATTAGCAAGCATCAACAAGGGTAGACTTTGTCATTATGCAACCACCACAACGTTTTGAGTAATTATTTCAGGTGTGGCCATAATAGAACATTTCATTAAGGATTGATGCACAGTAATTCTCTAATTCTATTATCTCTTTGCCTATCATTATTTAACATCATCCTGTACGGAGGAGTTTTCTCTCATTCACTGAGAATGACTTATTTAACAGTCAAAGTAAATGCTGGATTCTTTACCTTTAATTCTCATTTTCATAGTAAGGATTTGGTGTAATAGTCATCTCCAAACTGAGTATTCGATGTTTCTCTCTCCCTTTCTCTCTCACATAAGGGACTTACATATTTTCATTTTTATTTCTTTATTTATTTGTTTTGAGACAGGGTCTCACTCTGTCACCCAGGCTGGAGTGCAGTGGTGTGATCATGGCTTACTGCAGCCTTGACCTCCCAGGCTCAGGTGATCCTTCCACCTCAGCCTCTTGAGTAGCTGGGACCACAGGTGTGTGCCCTCATGCCCAGCTAATTTTTTTGTAGAGGTGGGGTTTCACTATGTTGCCCAGGCTGGGACTTTTAAGTTTTTATAGTTAGTTATTGTTTCTGATGCTCAATTGATCCTAGGATATTGGGCCCATGAGATGCCTTTCTAGCTGGATGCTGTGGCACATCCTTACTGGTCTTTGTTGCAAAATATTCTTCCTGGATCTTCTTCCCCAGCTAAGACTCTATGTCTGTTTTATATCTGCCCATGACAGCTCCCTATTCTCCTACATCCCAGCAACATCTCCATCTGAGGAGACCACTGTCTTCCTTCCAGACTGTGTCATCTAATACAATGAAAGTGCTAGACTGCCTCACCCACCCCCACAAAATCTTTACTTAACACAGCAATTGCCTGCCATCAAGAATACTCCCTGTAAATTCACAATGCCGGACCAAGATCCCAAATGCATAGGGGAAACAACTTTTCTTTTAAATGCCATAAGAATTTCTCTTACCTTGCATAGTAGTCATTGGGTGGAACTGCTTCCTGAAAGAACTGGAACTGGTATAAATAAAGTCCAATCAAATGTCCAGCAGTGAAAATAGCCAGCAGAACACAGAGACAGCTGAATAGCAATGGGTCAAACGTCCGGCACCAGGACCACCAGGTGCACAGACCCAAAAATACAAAAAAATACACAGATGACGTCAAAGATGGCAACATCATACCTAAGGAAAAGAAACATAATCACAGAAAGTCAGCTCGAACTGGAAATTCACTTATCATTCAGTGAATGTGACTACTGGAAATTATGTGACTTTCCTTCGTGTGTTTTAGGTATTTTAAAATAGTAATTATTAATAATCATATTTCATTTATGTAATACAAATGAATGCTATGTTTATTGTGAAAAAGTCACATAAGAAGTGATAATTTTGTAAATACAAGGATGTACCAGATGATTAAAAAATTCCACCTGTGGTGTTTGAACGAAGTAAATATCTGTTTTTCTTACCAGTAGCATTTGCACATTTACTTGCCTGTTTCCATCTTTCTACTTCTCCCACATTTTCAAGATTTCATGTACCTGTGTGTCTATTCCAACCTTTCCTGACACTATTTTCTTTATAATAATTTACTCCTTTTATTTTTTAGTTAACTAGTACATCATGGCCAGTTAAACTCTCAGCATGTCCTGCTAATTTTTATTTTATTTTATTTTATTTTATTTTATTATTTTATTTTATTTTATGTACAGATGGGATTTCACCTTGTTGCTTTGGCTGGTCTTGAACTCCTGGGCTCATGTGATCCTCCCTCCCTGGCCTTCCAAAGGGCTGGGATTACAGGCATGAGCCACTGCTCCTGGCCAATAACTCCTTTAAAAGTGTTTTAAAGAAATCATAAATAAAGCCATCATCTTAAGACAAAAGGAGTCTGTTTTATTGGGCATTTTGAAATGACTCCTCATTAAAATGTTGTGGTTTATTTCTTGAGAAATTCTACTGTCTTTCCCCCCATTTTTTCCCCTATTAAAAAACAGCTAAGTTGCTACATTTTTGCAGTTTGCTTGAGTCTAATATGCCCCTCGTAGCTCTGGAGCAGTGGTGAGCAGTGGAATGGAAGGAGGGAAAAGATCAAGATAACATTATTATGGAATAAGTGGCCCAAGGCCAAAATTTAAAGGAAGTGAGCGTCTGTGTTAGAAGATTACAATCTAACTTAGGAAGAAAAATAGTCTATCCTGGAGAGTTATATTAAGGTGACTGTGGACTCATGTAAACAGACAGGCCTCCAGAGCCCACAATATGGCTTGTGATGCATACACACACATTGTTAACTGTAGCAGGTCACCATTCCAAAGCTCTAAGGAAGAGGATTGTTGTTACTCTAATCTAAACCTAGAAAATGGGTTTGCTTAGCATATATAGAAAAGATTATTTTGCAGAGGTTAACAGAAACCATCTAAAAACATCAAAACTAGAACTGAACAGGAAAAATTATTTTGTGTGGTTTGTACATGTGGCCAGTTTTACAAGAGCTACAGTTATTATTTTCATGTTGCGGTATAGATTGTTTCCTTCATTTTCTCTTCAACCATTTCTCACATTCACCAAAGCTCTGCTTGTGCCTTTTACGACATGCAGCCAGTGTGGGAGACACTTACCCGAGGAGCCCAGTAAGATGGTAACAACGACTTTCCCAGCAGTGGTGATCATGTTGCCAATGAACTCCTTGAGCTTGGAGGCCACAGAGGCAAGCCTGCGGAACATTTTTAACTTTGTGCTTTCTTCCAACTCGCCTTCAACACCATCTCCTCCATCTAAATCCTCTTCATAGATCAGTGCCTCTTCTGAATCAATTTTTTCCCCTTCAGCCTAAATAAATGACAAACAGGGAACACTTGAGTCCAGGACTCTGCCTATCCAGCCAGCAGATTATAGAGCTTCTGATTCATGGGTCAATGCAGTGAATTTCACAGATCGGGAAGAAAAGGCAGACAACCAGTTCATTCCCCCCAGGTCTCTGATAATCTCTATATAAGCTCAAGTAACTTTGATCTTTCTTGAAGAAGTAAACGTAAACAGGAAACATCACAATTATAGGGTCTCTAATAACATGTCATGTTCCCTATTTGTGCTTATTTTTTTTAATAAGCAAAGAAGAAACTGTCTGAAACATCTATTAACAAGTTTAGTTTAGATCAATCTGGATTTGGGGCTTCAAATTTACAGAGTTGGCCACCAAGGAGATAGGAGGTTTGATAAAACTCTCATGGCTTTCACTGAAGCCACAGCTTTGACTGAAAGGGTGGGGGCAAACAGTGCTTAGGAAATTCTGTTTCTTTCTGAAGTTTATCTTTGTTCGCTATTTCCATATTTCCTGACTGTGGAAGAATGAGTGGTCTTGAGCTTCTTGGCAAAATATAGAGCTGCTTCCTATCTTATCCTTTCAGAGACACTGGTTCAAGCCTGGGCAGCTCAGCACCTCAGTGCTATCAGCAGGGATTTAGGGAGTAAACACATGCACCAGCACATATGTAGATATCCACATATTATTTTAAACTGTGTATGCTAAGGCATTTTTGCTTGTTTTGCGTTTAAAAAATAAAAAATAAATGGGGAAAATTTTGGCTGATTAGAATATTTCCATAGAAGTATTAGGGCTTAAAAAAATGATAATAAATAAAGCCATCACCTTAAGGCAAAAGGAGTCTGTTTGAGAGGCATGAAACTGTGTGTGTATTTTTCCCTAGGCCGACAGACTTCATATCTTTAGTCTCTCACAGAGCTAAGAAACTATTGTTAAGCCCAGTTCAGGCATCTATTTAAGACTTAAAGAGAAGGGTCTGGCCTCTCCATTTTCCCGTTTTTAATGATTCTTTTTTGATATATTTAGTTCAGATATTTACTCACTGATGGTGTCTGACTCCTCACTATGACCAAGTTCACAGGAGGAAGGCAGGCACTGGAGAGCCAGTGCCAAGTTCAAGTTAAGCATGGAGTGGCCTTCAGGACTCAGAGGCCTTCTGTGTGCCTAGGAGGGTGCACACAGTAGGTGACTGGAGTTGACTGTTGATGAGCCAAGGCTACAGGAGGCACCCAGCCAGGTCTCCACCCACCTACACACACACACACACACACACACACACACACACACACACACACACACGGATTTAATCCTGGGACACTTCAAGTTGACTTCTACTGAATTTCATTGTGCCGTATTTGTATAATTTTTCCTGAAGAAAAAGGAATATCTCATGCTCAATGAATAAGATTTTTCTATCCATACAAGTCCTAGTGTGTCCTAGAATCTACAGGAAGAGATATAGCAATAAACACATAAACAAGTAAAATATTAACCAGCTAAATATTTCACAGTAATAAATGCTATTCAGAGAAGTCGAATAGTATCATGTGATAGTGATAAACTGTGTGGCTGTTTCCGATTCAGAGGTCAAGGAAAGCCTGTCTGAGTAGGTGACATTTAAGTTAAGATCCGAATGTCACAAAGTTACTAGCCCTATGAAAGTCCTGGAAAAGAGCATTCCAGGTGGAGGAAAGAGCTGGTCCAAGGCTTCGTGGTGTTTGCAGAAAGAAAGTGTCCCCAGGCCCGTGGCTACTTCCACTCCCCTAGAGAACAATTCCCACCTAATTCTCAGAGGATCACCTTGCTTTCTACTGCTCCCAGAGAGGAGCTGCCAACTCCAGCCAGTACATCAGACCACACACCTGCAGCCAGCCTGCCATGCACACACTCTGCCTTTCTCTTGTAACAGGATGAGCTGCATGTGCTCCAGCCTCGGTGACTGCATCCCATCTGCTCAGGACACCAGGGAGAGAACAGCCCAGCCATCCTGGCTCTCTCTCCCCCATCACAATGTGCTTGCTTTCTCCTGGATCACCCCGTTAACAGGCAAGGGCACCTTGCTGTCTCACCTTAGAGAAGCACACCATTTCAACCCACATTTGTCTCTTAAGGTGAACCTCTCCAGAAGAGTGCACTAGACTCATCACTCCATTTATAGTAAAAATGCTCCCATACCTAATTTCTCTTGAACCTAGTCGAATCAGACTTTGATCTCCAAACACTCTGTCTAATGAGAGGCACACATAATTTGCTTTGCCACATAACTCTAGTTGCTGCCTGGGGTGGAGCAGAGGGACGCAGCAGCATGGAGGTAATGTCTGTGCTGGAGGAGAGGGGAGGGAGTGGTGGGGCTGAAGTGAAGATCCTGTCTCTGAAGTCTATTTTGGAGGTCAGATTAGTAGGACCAGCTAGAAAGTTTAAAGTGGGAAGGAGGGATAGAGGAGAATCAGAGGCGGCTCCTCTATTTTTGTTTTTATTGTATTACGAGGACAACCAGGATGGAAGCAGGTTGGAGACTGAGAGTCCACATTTCTGTTTTGAAAATTCATTTCTGAGACTCCATTCAGGCGTTCTTTTTGGAGATGTCCAGTAGGCAGCTAGTACAGGGGTCTGGAGTACTGGAGAGGGGCGGGAGCTGAAGAGGGCTCTTTGAAATGTGCCAGCATAAGACGGTTTTAAGGTCAGTGACCTAATGAAGTTACCTGGAGGGAATATAGAGATGGCCCCCCTCCAGGTGTTAATGCCCCTGAGACCACTCAGCCTTTCCAGGCTTCTGTCATCTCCTTGCCTGTCAGCATTCCTTGCAAGAAATGACTAGCAGAACCCATAATTCACAGACTCTCTTTGCCTCTTTGCTGTGGGACAGGCTGCCTCCCGCTACCCCCGCATCCCTGGGATGCCTTCTCCAGCTCCTGAGGACTGGATCCCAGGGGAGCTCTTCCATTCAGCTTACTCCATCTCCCCACAAAGAAATCCACCCACCAGAGCTATCCCAAGGACACTCACATCATCATCAACACACAAACAACCTGCTCATCAGGCATCTGTTGCTTCTTTCTCCATTACAACAGGTGAGCAACATATTAAAAATCTCCCTCTAGGAAGGAAGTTTGGCCAAAACCTTTAGTCACTGCACTTGAAAAAGAAGCAAAAGAAAGAACACAGCCAGGGTTGCCTGGATCACAGTCAGAAACACACCTGTGACTTTCATAATAAATGTGTTGTTATTCAATTATAGAATTGCTACTGGTGTAGATTAAATCAAATAGAAATCTCTGATCAAGATGCCTTTGTGAGGTTATACAAATGCATTTTTCCCTGACCTGTCTTAGGCAAGACTGGGACTTTGTGATTTTTATAAACATACCACTGTACTTAAGGTTTTTCAGCATTTTTATACAGAAATTCCTGGGGCTGTCAGTTGGAAATACTTTTTAAATTTGCCAAGCTGAGAGCCAAGAGCGAGACGGGTTAGACTCTGTGAGCCCCTACTGTCCTGGTAGGTCGGGGCCAGAACTGCCATTAGTCACGTCAGGCTGGCTTATTAACAGGCAGGCTTTTTTCCCCCAAGTGATTCTGCTGAAGTATAAACACTGACGCTCTGAAAGAGCATGGACTCACATGTTTACTAATAGGCAGTCTTGCTTGCTGGAGCTGTAAGCTGTCCCTGCATTTGAGCAAAACTTCAATCTGGCCTTGACGCTAAGGAGGAGGGTAAGCTATAAATAAAGATTTAACTCCCTTGGTTCCTGAGCCATCTTAGAACCTGAAGACAAAATAAACTCTTTACAGTTTAAAAAGTCAAATAAATGATTACACAGATTATTGACCATGTCAAAATCTAAAACTTATTTAAAGACATTTAAGTCCTTTATCTTGCCTTTTTAAAAATTCCTGATTTCAACAGGAAATCCTGTTATTTGCAACAACATGCATGAATCTAAAGAAGAGTATGCTAATTGAAATAATCCAGGCACAGAAAGACAAACAAGGAATGATCTCACTTATATGTGGAATCTAAAGAAGTTGCACTGATAGCAGTAGAGAGTAAAGGGGTAGTTACCAGAGGCTGGGAAGGAGGCTGGTGACCTGGAAAGGGGAAATGCTGATCAAGGGGGTACAAAATTTCACTTAGACATGAGGAATAATTTGGGGGGATCTATAGTACTGCATGGTAACTGTAGTTATTAATGTATATTTCAAAATAATTGGCTGGGCTTGGTGGCTCATGCCTATAATCACAGCAGTTTGGGAAGCTGAGGCAGGAGGATCACCTGAGGTTAGGAGTTTGAGACCAGCCTGGCCAACATGGTGAAACCACGTTTCTACTAAAAATACAAAAATTAGCTGGGCATGGTGGTGCACGCCTGTGATCTCAGCTACTCAGGAGGCTGAGGGAAGAGAATCTCTGGAATCTAGGAGGCAGAGGTTGCAGTGAGCAGAGATGACACCACGGCACTCTAGCCTAGGCGACAGAATGAGACTCCATCTCAAAAAATATATAAAACTAGAATAAAATAATAAAAAATAAAATAGTTGAAAGAGAGGATTTTAAATGTCCTCAACACAAATAAATATTTGAGATGATGAATATCCTAATTAACCCGATTTGCTCATTCCACAATGTATAGATGTATCAAAACACCACATTGTACCCCATAAATATATACTGTATATAGTTATTTATCAATTAAAAATAAAATAAAAATAGTTGAATACTAGAAACATAAAATACATAGATAAAAGTTGCTGATTTCAACATTTGATAACACGTATTAGTGTAGCCTCTGTCATTTCTCATACGGAAGCTCCAGGTGTTATGCAATCAACTTTATACAAAGCCAGCCTGTTCTCTGTTAGGGCCCTGAATAAGGGCCTAAACACAAAGGTCTCATCCCACAATGAGATGAGATCTAAACATTTGCACTTCTGCATCTCATCCGATAACCCCCTCTCATGCTAAAGCAGCACTGATTCCATTAAGGCATGACAACCACCATGATTT